TTTTCTGGGAGTTTATGTTTTCTATTCGTAAAATATATATATTCCGGCTAATATCATACAAAATAAGTATACATATGTGACACAACTCCTGCATATGTCACCATGCTGGATAACGTACAGAAAACGTTGCTTTTAGGAAGCATGTGTCGCACGTATCCGTCCACATGTCCAATAGATTCCTCAAGGTCGATAGCCTAGGTTAACAACAGCATGAAAGAGTATATGATTTCTCGCTAAGTACAAAAAAGTCACTCTCTTTGTTATAAAGCTTCTGGAAAACTCGCTCAAAAATCATAAAAGACCTATTCTATTGATATAAAAATTATGCCATTAGAAAGGAAATACTCTGGGCACAGTGTGCATTCACGTGGACATTGGGTGAAAAAATGAAAGTACATTTTTCTAAGATTCAAATAGCGTCAAATATACTTTGAAATATGATCTATAATGGCACAAAAGTTATTGTTCCCGTTACCAGAGTTACCTGGAAAATACGGCGGAAATTTTGGTCGAAAACTTAACAGCTAAAAAATAACAGCCTTTATTGTCGAAAGTAAATAATCTTGTTAAAAAGTCATACATAGTCTATAACTAGACCTTTGATTCTATCGATTCATAAAAATCATTTTTTATTTTGACTGAGTTGACTTGAGGAAAATCATTTTCTTTTTACGCTAAGGGTTTTCAGAAGACATGTGCTCAGTATAATGAGTTTTCGAAATTTTCAGAAGCTTCAAATGAAATGAAACTTTCCCAAATGTTCATCGACTTAAACTACATCTACAACGATAGCGCGAATGATCCTACACTGAGCTACAGGTTTTCCAAAAACCTCATGGTTTTTCAGGCAAAATCCGATTTTCGCAATTTTTTACAATTTCGGCTGGAGATTTCGATATTTGCTATAGAAGCAGTCCGAAAGTCTATAAAAACTTTTTTTGTAGGTTTTCAGATATGCTCTTTCCAATGGTGTGCTTTATAAAGTCCCAGAATACTTATGTGTGGGTTTTCTAGAGACCCCCCTTAAGAAGCGGAAGAAAAGTTTTGTATTCCATCGGCTAAATATTACTCTGTTACAAAAATTCGATCTTCACGTTTACAGTAGAAACTTTTCTTAACTTATGGACAAAAAGAAGAATGTGTTAGCTAAAAATCTACAAAAAACAGTTCAAACTCTAAAACATTAGCATAATAAAACAACTTGTATCCTCAAATTAAGAATTTATTTTAATTATGTCTCTTTGACAACAATTTTAACTAGTCCAATAGACTATATTGTTTTCTCACCGGTATATAGATCATCAGTATAATAGTTTGTTTTTCTCTGTTATATATCATTCGAATTGATTCATTCATAAAATATATAACTATGATAAGGACATGGAAGTTTTCGATTACATTTTTTGCCTTGTCTCGTTGATCCACTTCTTAATATTGTTGTACACGAATTATCACTATCGGTTAATCGAAGAGCAGTATTATGACCTTTTGATCCTAGTGATGTACGTTTATTTATAGTTTTTCGCGTACGTAAATTATAAAAATGATTTGTACTACTATCTTGAAGAACTTTCACTTTTAGTGTTGCCTTTTTCCTCGTTTGAAAAGATTTTTTTTTTCTATTTGATTTCGATTTTTGTTTGATAATTTGTTTTTTAAAATCGTCGCTATCATTTGTTATTTCTTCAGTTCCTAATACTTTTGCTGCCATCCTGTTTGTTGATAGGGATAAACGATTTGTCTGATCAACAAGTTCATTGAGTGTATCAATCAATAACGGTTCATTTTGAAAGTTTAATAATTGCTGATGTTCGAAAAAATGTTCGCCACACATATCATTTTCACAGTGGTAACAATGTACATCAATCTTTTGTTCACATGATTGAATTGAACAAAACTTCGTAATGATCGTTGATAACATTCTAAAAATGAATTGTGCGATAAGTTAAAAGTGAATTTTTTTCATGTTCAGTGGATGGATACAAAAGACTTATTTTATTTATGATTTGAGACGATCAATTTGTTTCAAACTATTAGATTTTGAGAAGTATAAGAACTTATATACTCACTTTTGGATGTTTTTGATTGAGGAAAAAAATTGAAAATGTTTGTGCGTAAAAATTTATCCTGAACAAGGATATACACATGAATATATGAATGTGTATGTGTTTGATAGTAACAGCAAAAAAAAAAGAAGAAAGAACAGTTCAACTAGCGGTCATTCGTTCTTCTATTATAGATCATATGAAATTATTTTGTGCATTTCTTTTATAAACGGCCATAGAAAAACTATCCGACTACGGTAGTATATGTTGAACAGAAAGCTGTATTGTGAGAAGATATTAACAGTTCTTTAGTAAAACAGACTACGAAGGAGAAAGAAGGAAGAAGGATGTTATGAATCATTACCCATATCCTTGAATAGGACAAATACTTTCTGAAATAGTCATTGTCTATTGGTGGTAGAATGTCTATTAAGGTATCTTTTGCTAATATTGTATAAAACAAATTTATCAGGAACTTGTTTTATCTTAATCATTAAAAATACAAAAAAATACAACATTAGAAAAGTTTCTAGAAAATAAATGGCATTAATGTGTCTATCGGTTCTGAAACAATCTGTCGAAGAAACGGTGAAATATGGATTAACCGACGTTTGAGCGCCGACACTTGAGCGACCCCGACATTTGAGCGACCCCGACATTTGAGCGACCCCGACATTTGAGTAATAACGACCGTTCAGCACCAAGTGCTCACTCTCACCCTCACCCTACACAGCCTCACCCTCAGATCGCTCAAGTGTCGGCCGCTCAAATGTCGGACGCTCAAATGTCGGGGTCGCTCAAGTGTCGGACGTTCAAGTGTCGGGTGCTCAAATGTCGACGCTCAAATGTCGGGCGCTCAAACGTCGGTTGACGGAAATATGACATAGTTGTAGTAGCTGATGATATAGTCTAAATTGAAATAACAGTACTATCATATATCATGGAACAATCAGTTGATTCGACTCTTAAGCTATTTATCCCATGTACGTCATTTTTATACACATTTTGTATTTGTTTAATTAGCCATTTGTTAGGCCGTTTCATTATTCATTTAACTTACCTGAATTAATGTATGATATTCTAACAATTCATTAAAATTATAAACTGATCTATAACAAATATGTTTGTATCGATTTTTATTCCAATTATAGAACAATAAAAATGTCTCAATGGATAAACGATCGAGTCCATTCATGACTTATTGTTATCCTGTACTTAATTATTGAAACTTGAAAAGAACACTTTGCAGTATGAAAATAAAACAATCTATAAACTGCAAACTTTTTTGAATGAGAATACCTTTGTCTGTAATTCCCCTGAATGTTTTCTTCGTTATAAGTCGTGAATGAGATCTTCTAGTCGATGATCAGCTTGGTTTGAAAAGCTGGATTAACTATGAAGTTATATCAGGATTGGATCAAATATTATTAAAATCTATATTCTGGTTCAAAGATGAAAATACTGATCAGCTCTTTTATCTCTGAATCCGGTGAAAGAATTAGGGTTGAGTTGTCTGAAAGTGACAGCTTCAGATATTTCAGAACTAATTCTAATCAGATTTTCCAGGTTTAATGATCATTAAGAGAAAAAGGTATTTGTAAATAAAAAGGCAAGGGGGAAACAGCTGAATTTGATACGTTTTTGAATTTACTTGAATTTAACTGAATTTAGCTGAATTTAACTGAATTTAGCTGAATTTAACTGAATTTAACTAATTTTGATTGACTTCGACTGATTTCAAATCGGTTAGATTCACTTATAGTAACTGCCATGCATCTGAAGAACTACAGAAAGAGCA